CTTTTTTAATATGGCAAGAACCTGGGCCAGAAGGCCCTCCAGATGGCCAGGGTCTTGGTGCCCCAGAATTATATCATCCATGTAGGCATAGGCAAGGGAGGTATCTGAACCCAGCACAGGCCCTAAAAGTGTGTCCAAGTATTGTTGGCAAAAGGCCAGGCTATTGGCCATTCCCTGTGACAGCACCGTCCATTCAAACCTCCGATCAGGCTGGGAAAAATTAAGAGAAGGGATGGAGAAGGCAAACTTCTCGCAGTCATCCTGATGACCAAGGTATATTCTGAAGGTATATCGGGAGTCCAGGGCAGGCCTCTTAGGGGCATTCCTACTAGCTCCATCCTTTCATTTACCTTATGTAGATCTTGGAGCATAAAGTAGGTCCAGATGCTTTTTGAATAACAAATATGGGTGTGTTCCAAGGACTCATAGAAGGGCATATATGCCCAAGGTTTATCTGTTCCTCCACCAGAAGGTGGAGGGCTACAAGTTTAGGTTTGGTCAATGACCACTGCTCCACCCAAATAGGGCTTCCTGGTTTCCACCTAATGGGAGGTACTGGGGGGGGGCAGTAGCCTTTAGGATTGGGGGTGCATCCGAGTGGGTCCCTTATTGTCTTCTCTGTAATTATGAAAGTTAAAAAAAATCCTTTTCTTTAACTCCCCCTAGATCCCATTTAAGCCTTTGTGCTTCTTTTCCATCCAGGATGTCATCATAGGATGCTCAATGGTCCATAGTGACCACGGCATCCATTTGTCTTAGCATGTCTTGCCCTAGTAAATTGGCAGTGAGGGTTTTTTTTTTTTTTTTGCCACTAAAGGGCGTATTCCCTGTTCTCCATCTGGGCTAGCCCATTTCATAAGGGCGACCACCTCTTTGGACTGGGAATTGTCCCCTACCCCCAATATCGGGGGCCCGGGTGCAAGCTTCCAGTCCAAGGCCACTTCTTCCTCCCTGAGTATGGTTTGATCTGCCCCTGTGTCAATTAGGCAGTGAAACCACTTCCCACCTATGAAAACACTCATTTTAGGGCAGAGTCCTTCCATTAGGGGGACTGTCCAATGGGCCTGGGTTGTCCTGCCATGAGGCTGCCTGGGCCTCACAGCAGAGGGGGTTCCTCCTGGAGTTAATGGGGCTGGAGGACACCCCTCCCCTAGTTTAAAGGCTTCCCATCTAAATCAAATTTGGATCGACAATCCTTTTTCCAATGGTACCCCTTCCTGCACCTGGAGCAGGGTGTAGGGGCCGGTTGGTGGGGGGATTGTTGTGAACAGTCCCTCATAAAGTGCCCCTCCTGCCCACATTTAAAACAAGTCCCTCTCTCCAATGGTCTTGGGGTTCCTTGGCCCTGGGCTGCCAGCGCCTGGGTAACAGCCTCAGTCATTGCAGATGTTTGAGACCATAAAGCTAAAGCTAGTGACTGGGACTGGTGCTGTTGCGTTCCTGTAAGGTCCATTCACCTAGGCAACTGGGACACCTGGAAGAGGTCACATCCGCATCTGCTGAGGTCACATCTTAACCTGATGTGGCCACACCTTTCTCCCACCTGACCCCACTTCCCTTTACCTGGACACACCCTTCCGCACCCCCTACCCTATATAAGGCCTAAACCGCGGCCAGACGGCCCTTTTCCTTTGCCAGCCGCGTGGAGTGCCAACCTTGCCTGGTCCCAGCAGGTCTACTGAATAAACCCCTTACCTGAATACCACGTGCGTGGTGCAGTTCTTACTCAGCTACCTCTTCAAAAACCTAACAGTTCCCACATCCTGCGAGGCCACCACCCATCTGCTCAGGGAACTCTCTTTCAATCCCGCACAGGCCATGCGGTGGTCTGCATTCATCCCTTCCCAAACCAGTAGCTTTACAAATTGATCTCCTTGGTCTATAAAATCAGATAGAGGCTCACCTGGTTTTTATCTCACTCCTGCTATGGGGGACTCAATGGGCCCATCATCCAGTTTGTACCACGCGGCAAGTCCTGCCTGCCTCACCTGGTCATGGTATGGGCCAGGTATTGCAGCCTGTTGGACGCCAGTGGAGTACCCTTCCCCTGTCCCTGTTAACATGGCGTAAGTATTTGGTATTGCGGGTTGAGCCTGCCGGTTATTCTCCGCCCGCACTCTGCATTCCTCCCGAAAGAAGGCACACCATTTAATAAACTGAAAACTGGTGAGGACAGTTTTGGCCACATCCAGCCAGTCCTTAGGGACACATGGGTGATAAGCAATGTCCTGTAATAGGGTCTGGGCCCAAGGAGAGTTTGGGCCATCCTCCGCCACCACCTTGCGGAGCTCTTTAAGATCCTTAGCTTCCATGGATACCATGCAAAGGGTCTGTTAGCTCCTGGTGCCAGACTGACCAGATACACTTGGGGAAGCAAATCCTGTGGCCCAGCGTCTGGGCTCCCAGGTGGCACTTCCCTTCCAGGGTAGGCCTCCAAGTAGGTTACTTCCCTAGCCCTGGGCCCATCCGTGGAAGGTTGGTAGGGGTCCAGGTGACACAGGTCCCTCTATAGGGTCACGTAGGGCACCATACCTCCCCCCTAATCAGGGCAATAGAATGGGGGGCCTAGGACTGTCAAGGGCACCTGAGTCAGAGGGGATAACCTTCACCCTTGTTTTGACTTCCACTGTGCATGCTTCAGTGCATTCTCGGTCGAATTTGACCCATTCCTTTTCCTTCTCACTTCCCAAGTCCTCCTTTACTCCCTCTAGGCCTAATGTTGCCTCCTCCTCCTCCTCCTGTGAAATAGAATTACCCATACTAAGGGTTTCACTTACCCTGAGAGACCGCTTAGCTTCGGCCGGTATATTTTCCTTTCGTGCCCCACATTGGGTGCCAGATGTCAGTCTTCGTCCAGAAGGGGTCCCAGGAAGGAGACAATCAGACGCAGCAGGGAGTCAAGTTAAGCAGGAACTCGTTTATTACCACACAGCAAGCACTTTTAAAGCAAAAGACCGTGTGGCATGGGACCACATGGAACCAACCAATCACTGTAAAGGTCACACCTTAACATGCACCTAAGCTTCCATGAGCTGTTTATGCATGTAAACAAATCAGGCTCTGCCCACTCAACTCCCTTTCAGCACCATCTTTGCTGCCCGTGTGACACACACACACACACACACACACACACACACACACAGCAATCTGCAGGTAACTGCTTCCAGATCACAGAGTTACTTCAGGAGAGATCACCTGAAATAAAGCTGAGAGGGGCTGGAAAGGTTGCTTAATGGTAGAATACTTGCCTAGCATTCATGAAACCCTGAGTTCAATTCCTCAGTACCACAGAAAAAGCCAGAAGTAGAGCTGTGGCTCAAGTGGTAGCTTGCTAGCCTTGAGCAAAAGAAGCTCAGGGACAGTGCCCAAGGTCTGAGTTCAAACCACAGGACTGGCACACACACAAAAAAAAAAAAGAGGAGGAAGGAAATGAAAAAGAGGATAGGAAGGAAGGAGAAAGGAGGAGGAGGAGGAAGAAATCTGGTCACAGTTGTTCCCCTCACCCTCTGACCCTGATTCATTCCCTAAGCCTGGAATTGCTGGAGTCTTCTGAGATCTCTGTCCTTAGGTTTGCTCTTCATACAGAACATATTCATCAAATGTCTGCTAAGTGGCTGGGTTTTTTCCAGGCTCGGGAGATCCTCAAGTGAACCAGCCATGCAACTTTTCCTTCTGGGTCTTAGCCTTGTCCAGAGAGGGTTCCATGGCTCCATCAACAAACACAGGCCCCGCACTTCCTGAACACAGAACCCTGGCTCAGGAAGCAAGGATACAAAGGTCACATGCAGCATGAGACCTGAGAGCCAGGGACTTTGATGAAAAAGGCTAAAATGGGGGTGCCCTGTAGAGCATGTGAGAGGCAGGGACACATGGTGGAGCCTCTCACATCACATATGCAAAACAAGTGCTGTTCACTGGAAGTAACTGGCCAGCATGCCTAGCTGCCCCAATTCCTCCACCCCAAGCATAGAGGGAATTTACTGTCTCACAGCTGAATTCCCTTCATAGCTCTGGTCTAGGCTAAGCTGTAAATGGTAAGTGGGTGATAAAACAGGGAGGAGATATTCAGCCCCTTCTGGCATTCACTTAACAAGTATTTTTAACTTAATTGATTAAATTTGATGGTGCTAGGGATTGAAACTTGTATACAGGGCTGGGAATGTGGCTTAGTGGTAGAGGGCTTGCCCAGCATGCATGAAACCTTGGTTTCAATTCCTTAGTACTACATAAACAGAAAAAGCTGCAAGTGGCACTGTGGACCAAGTGATACAGTGCTAGCCTTGAGCAAAAAGAAGCTGAGGGACAGCACCCAGGCCCAGAGTTCAGGCCCCACAACCAACAAAAACAAAAGAAAAAAAGCTTGTATACACTCCGCAAAAAAAACAAAAAAACAAAAAAAACCAACCCTGCTCTTTAAACCATTACTATTTTGTCTATGCTAACTTCTGCACATTCATTTGGATTATGATTGTGTTAAACCTACTGTAGCTATTAAGTTTCTGGTTGATACACAGGTTAGAGACAGAATGGTTCAATGTACTTTACTATGCCCAAAATTTTGTGCGTCTCTGTGTGCCAATACTGGGTCTTGAACTCAGAACCTCTTCCCTCTCAGGGATTCCCCCTGTCACTCCCCCCGACCCGCCCCACACACACACCAGAGAGCCTGCCTCCCCCTCAGTCACTCACCTCTTCTCCCCCAAGGACAAGCCTCTGGTCACCCACGCCTATCCCCGCCCCTCCCTTGCAGCCACGCCCCCTGTCACTCTGGCCCAGACAGCCCCACCCCCGCGGCCACGCCCCTGTCACTCATCTCACACCCCACCCCAAGCTAGCCCCTCCCCCTGCGCGCCTGACAGTGACCCACGCCCGCTGGCTGTGCGCACACCAGGCCGTGCGCAGCCGGACCTCCTGCGCGTCGGGGAGCAGGCCTTGCCGCGGGTCACGTGTCCGCCCGTTGTCACGTGGGCTCCGCTCACCTGACCAGGGCCTCACGTGACTCGGGCGGCGCTGGGAGAGAGGCCATGGCCGCCTCCTGCCTTTGGTTTTCGCTGCTGCTGGCGGCAGCGACCGCGGGTCGCGGGGCGGCCCTGTGGCCCTGGCCCCAATACATCCAGACCCACTACCGGCGTTACACCCTGTACCCCAACAACTTCCAGTTCCGGTACCATGGCAGTTCGGCCGCGCAGCCCGGCTGCATCGTCCTCGACGAGGCCTTCCAACGCTACCGCAGCCTGCTCTTCGGTTCCGGCTCGTGGCCTCGACCCAGCCACTCAGGTGGGCCTCCCCTTCCACCTCGGTCCCGGGCTGTGGGACTGACCCCCGCCGCCCGAGGCTTTTGCCCCCACCCTCTGACCACCAGGCCCCTTTCTCCTGACCCTCTGTGCAGCTGCCCCCCCCCCCCCCCCCTGCCCCTGCCTCCCAGGCTGAGGCCGCTTCC